GCAGGAATAACAGAACAAGTTTAGCAATGGAAATGTGCATCAAAAGGATGCGATACCTGAAAGCAAGTGAAAATCTTTGAAAGAGACCTTTCAGAGCGTCAGTGAAACACTGAAGCATTTTTGGTCCAAGGAGACACACATGAATCCTAAATACAAAGTGCTCTCCCAGTGATGTGAGTAGTTAGGATTCTGTGTAAAAGTACAACTTCTGACCACTGACTTGCTTATGCCACGGATATTTTCACTTGGACACAGAAATTAATATGTGTCTCTTGAAATAATAAAGTTAGAAAGAGCAAAAAGTATGAAATTTGGTGCCCAGTAAACAATTCAGAAGAAAGAAACTCTTTTAGACTCTGAAAATTATATTTTTACAAATAATTGCTGTGTGCAAAGTAGCCACTTCATTATAGAACCATAGATTCTTTCCGTGACTAGAAATAACTTGTGACCTGAAAAAAAAACCACAATCCATACAACCCAACATCAAACTGAGTTGGAGTTGTTTTGTGAGCTAAAGGAATGACTTCACTTACAACCTTGAAGCTCTTGATGACATAACTTCGTCCCTCCCATCACTGGTGAGAAGGAACGTTTCCTGTTTACTGGGAGTACAGTACTTCAGATGTACTGTTCTTCATCTCCTCCATTCATGAGCAATGACCACTTGTCCCCTTCTTCCTCAACAAAACCGTTACATCTCGGCAGCTTCTCTGAAGTCAAGGGAGAGAGAGACACTTGGCTAATCTGATCCCAAGGAGCCTGTCTGGATGAACCCCTCCTCCTATCATCCATTCCAATATGAACACTGATTTGGGAAGGGGTAAGTGGCTTCATGCGGCCTTGAGCTTGTGCTTCATAACTTTCTGTGGCTGGCTTCTTATAACTAAGAAGAGAAAGAGAAAAGATGTATAGTACCAAGAGGTCAATGTGCAGAAGCAACTTTGGCATTAGAACGAATCAGAAACTTCTGCTAACAATGTTACCTGTACTTCAGATGCAATGTTAATGTCAAAGAGTACTGGTCACATACCATTAAAACATTTCAATAGTAAAAGAGAGGGACTTTCAAAGTGAAGTTCTTTAAGAAAAATTGAGTTAGCTGAATTATGAAAGGGTTCGTAGCAGACAATTGCAGGGGAATGACCCAAAAATCACTTTCTGATTCAATGCATTCGAGGTCAAAAAAAGCCTAGCAATGGCAAGTATGCGCGCGCTTCTTCACCTATATGTATTGTTGTCTTTTTGGGAATCTGAAGTTCTGTTCAGCTGATGTGAAGCTTCAAGAAAAATTATTGTCCTACAGAGTACACTGTAATACAGGTTCCATAAATCTGAAGCCAAATATGTTTTGGGGGGTTCTCAATATCTAACCACAATAGTGTTCAGTACTTAATGCAACCGCCACAAATTCAAAGGAATTAGAGAATAAAGGAATCCTCTTATAGAAATTTCTCATCTTTGGATAGTTACACACAGAAAGTTTTTAGGATTAAAATCCTGTAGTGGTAGGCCTGATTCTGCAAACAGACATGAGCACATACGTAGCTTTTCTTTTAGACTGTGGTCTCACTGAACATTTGCAGGATCAGAATCATGATGCAGCAACAGATTTCCTATATTAGTTTATATTATACTGTACTATAATACACTATACTACACTACATGCTACAGAAGACTCCAGCTGCAGTAGAAATATTTGAAGGCTTGGATTAATTTCAGACACCATAAAAGTCTTATTTTTGAAAGAAATTTGCTCACAATGCTGTTAAAAACAGGTCCATTGTAACTGCACCCAAAAAGGGCACCCAACAGTGTAGCACAAAAAATTAATAGAATTTTTAAAATCTTGTTAATAGTTCAGAAATGGTTCACTTCCAAAAAAAAATAGAGCAAGATACTTCATCTGTAGCAAGGTGCCAAAGTATAAATACACTGCTTCTCAGTTTCTCTCCGGGTAAATTAAAGAGATAAAAAAATAAAATCAAGTACAAATCTTTTAAAAAACATCTACTGCTACATTATGAAGAACTGCCTTTTGAATTATTTGTTCACTTGATATTCACAGCAAAACCAGTGCAGATCATTACCTCACTTGGTATCGAACTAGATCTCCAACACAGGTGCCCAGGTGGCATCCAGTCACGCTTTTAGCTGCTTGTTAAGAATGCTCAGTATGGTCTTAGTCCAGGTGTGTTCATAGCAGTGACACCTGTCTCTTTTGGAGCCAAGGATTAGACAGAACAACCCCAAGCTAAAGCACTGTGAGGTACTTTTAGATATACAAAGCCCAAAGTAACGTCTCACAGTGCTGCCTACGGTTCCCCAATGGCTTAGTAGAAGACAACTTGCCATTTCAGCTGCAGAGAAGACAGCACGACAGACACAGAAGAAGCTGCCATTGCAGCTGATCCCATCCAAGGCTGAAGCACGAGGCCAACAGGCATGAACACACCTAGCAAAACAGCATATGGATATCAGCCAGAGCAGCCCATCCCTGTATATTATACAACAGATTGGTAGTTCTACAATGTGACTTGTTAAAACCTCCATAAACACAATTAGATTGATATATATTTGCTCACTTATTTTTAAATATGTCCCTTTGTTGCAAGGGATGACTTTTGCACCAACTCGGCTACAAGACTGTGGCCCAAGGTGAGACTATTTGTCCCTTCCAGCTATTCTGTACATATGAAACAAAGCAAAAGCAACAGAAAGACAAGGCAGTAGTCCAGGCAAAGGAGGGAGAAGTTACTCAAAAAGAAAAAGAGGAATGCTTGAAGTAAGATTTAAGAAGGAATTTGGAGCATGAGAAGATGTCTGACAGAAGCAGAGAGAATGCAAGTAGCAGCAGCAAAAACAAGTGATTTAGGGTGAATAAAAGAGGGAGCACCCAGAACTGGGAAGGTTTCTCTGGAGCTGGGTTTGAATATAGAGAAACTAATCCCCAAGTACTGCTATGTGAAATAAGAGCATGGTTTTAATTTCATCATATAAGGACTTATTCCTAAGAGTTTAAAATTTGGGGAACAATTTTTTTCTACAACATGCAAAAAATACCATATTTATTTTGTCTTCCTTCTGACAAGTTTTAAATACTCTAGGAACTTCTCTTTGGTTCCTTGAGCAGGAAATCCTGTGAGAGACACCACAGAGCTCAATTGTGCTGCTGTCTTTGACAAGCTGAGCTCGGCAGTCACATACCTGCTGCTATAGGTATTCCAAGCAGATTATAAATTAAGGCAAGAATCAGATTTATTCGTATTCTTCGAACTGTTCTCTTAGATAAGTGAATACTGGCAACCACATCCAGCAAGTCATTCTGCAAGACAGAAGAGCATCGAAAGTTTTCCACATGCAGCCTTCAGAATATCAAGCCAAAAAGAGGAGTGTCTGTGATAAAAGAGGACAGATCAAAACTAATGCTCACTCGGATAAGAACAACATCTGCTGCTTCAATGGCAACATCGGTGCCCGTTCCAATTGCAATTCCAATATCGGCCCTGGCTAGTGCAGGGGAATCATTGACTCCATCACCAACCATCGCAACCTTCCTCCTCCCATTTTGGAGCTCCTGGATCTTTGCGACCTTGTGAGAAGGAAGAACCTCAGCAAAGACTTTTTTGATGCCAACCTATGTACAAAGAAAGAAATACACCCTGGTTGGTGATATGCTTCATGCTGAAAGGAAGAGCCATTTGCTGTTCTGGGAGAAGAGGAAACAAAGGAAGATCAACCAAACTGATTCCAGTGGAAGAAACACTTGGAAGCTACACAGAAAGCTGAACAGCAACACACCTTTGGCATAAGAAAGGAACTGATTACAGCCCCCTCCATCTTTATTGCAGAGATGCTAGAAAACCATGCTCTGCCCTTAGCAACATGCCCTGCAGGGCTTCTGAAGCTCTGCTGCCCTGGCAACAAAGGTTTGATGGTAAAAAGAGCCAGTTTTCAGCTAACCATGCTGCTTGATGCAGCAAAAAATGTTTCAGTGAAATGCAACACAGGAACCACGTATGATCAAGCAGTTACACTAGGGGAAACACAGAACGACAAGTATGTGCGAGTCTCTGGGAGACTATGAAAATAAAGCAGATGGCTGGCTAAATGCTTCTACTCATCCACATCTCAACTAATATGGAGTTGCTACCAATGGCTCTAGTGCTGTAGTTGAAAAACAGGTGGGTGTACTAAAGAGCGCTGGGAAAATGCCCCTGGTTTGGCTGCCTCACCAGGGAGAGATCAGCTCTTCACTACACAAGGTCGAAGCTCTCTTTTAACCTTTCAAAAAGTAACATTTTTAGAAGTTTTTAGGACCGGCTTACCGTTTTTCCATTGGAAAGGAAGCAAGTGCCAAAAATTCAATTAAAATGTAGGTTGGCACAGACTAAGCTTGTTTGAAGTGCCCTGAACAATAAATTGAAGCTCGTTTCTGAAAGACTTCTTCTCTTAACAAAGTTGGGTGGGAAAACACTTTCCCACAATTGAACACAAAAGCAAAAGTGTGAAACAAAATAGGAGAAGGATTAAAGCATCACACTGACAAACAAAACAGACCTCACAACATTCGAGAACATGCGTACCACAGTGCTAGCTGAGGTAGCTGTGTGGAGGGATACCTGAGGAAAGTGAGGTGGCACATAGTAGATTAGAAGTAGATCGATGTAGGAATGAAAATGAAGAGGGTGGAAATGTAGCATGGTGGAGTGAGAAGCTGGCTTTGGCTTTGGAGCAACATTTACAGTTTGAGATCAAGGAAATCTCATTTAAACCCAACATCTTTTAGACTCCTATGCTTCTTAACAGTAATTCTTATTGTTATTACTATCTTATCCTTAAAGATAATGACAAATTCCCACTTATCTTATTGGGAACAGGACTGGACCTTAAAGGAACTTTCCTTCATCACTAATCAAACACAACTGCCCTTCAGTGAAAGGAAGCAGGAGGCTTCAGTTCAGCAATGGATTAATTACTGAAAGAAACTCTGTACATCTGGAGACATACTGACTGCATGTCTTCAGTGGGATCTTAATGTAGCCACTGGCCTTTAATATGCCGCAGGACCTGACCTCATTTTCAGTCCAATTCAAGAAAAGTTGGTCTTCATTTAATGTATCCAGGGAAACTCTGAGGTCCTGCTCCAAATTCACGGGGGTAAGCAGAATTTTAGAACCTCATCATGTATTTTTTTTTGAAATGCAAAGAAGCAGATACCTGCGTAGCAATGGCTTTTGCAGTTTTTCTGTTGTCCCCCGTTATCAGCACCACATCTATTCCCATGTTTTTCAGTGTGTGCACAGCAAGGGCTGCCTCCTGCTTTACAGTGTCTGCTATTGCAATCATTCCACACAATACGCCTGCACAAAGAAAAGTCCTCTGTTAGAGAGAGCTGTGGGAGGCACAATGGCAGCAAGAGAACAGGACTTCCCTTCCCTCACACCGTGGTGGCTTGTGAAATAACACATTCTGGGTAATATTGACCTAAGTTTTGGTCTCCTTCTTACACACACACAAACTTTTCTTATTTATCTGTTTCAGATTGAACAAAAACCACCTTTGATATTTAGGGACCAGGAGGAAGGGGAGAAGAGGAGAGTAGCTTTTGAACATGCCTGACTTCTAGGTTTTATGGTACAGACAAATATGATAGTGAGGCAGAGAAAGTTTTGGGAATTGTGCCCACGTCAGATGCTGAAGCCACTCCTCCAGGAGGAAGCATAAAGGGTATCTGGTTTTATGTCCTCTAATCTTTCAGGGTTGGATCTCTTATAATTAAGTACTTTCATACGGCAGTGTTGCTCTTGCCTTCTAACACATTGACTCAAAGCTGCATCCACGTTTCCTTCATGTAACTTACAAAAATCTCCCATTGGTTTATCGTTGCAGGTTACCTTTCAAAAGTAAGGACTTAAGTAGGCTTTGGACCTCTGTATCTCTATTTGTTATCACTAGCAACGACAGGAACACCAGCTGTACCTCAGAGCCCTTATTTCCATGCTAAGAGCACTTGATTTTGCTGGACTGCTGATGAAGCCCAGTCTGAGACATGCAAATGCCTCTCAAAATTGCTCAGTAGGAGCACCAAGAATATTTATTCAGCAATTGAACCAGAGGCCCCATTTCAAGATCACAGATGCACTGTCAATGGCTCACCATTACAGCAGTTTCTCTTACTAAGGCATTGTCTGGGGTCTTTTTCTGAGTAGCACAGAACAGAACCCCTTTGGCAAAACCAATTTAGTCAAATGTATTATACTTGAATGATCTAATGAATCATTATGTTTATTCATGAAATGTTTTGAAATCAGTGATCCAATTGGTTGGCCTGTGATCCTTAAGTGATGTAAAGTCAGGATGGGACACGGCACTGCACTGGCACTGCTTTTCTGAACAATAGTCCTACACAACAGGAGGTTCAGAAATTAATACTTAAATTAAAATCTACCCAACAAAATCTTATAAACACTGTTCTGAGGTGAAAGCTTCTTTTAAGAACACAAGCGGTTCTGCACTAAAAGATTAGTAGTTTCTTGACACTAAGCCACTGATCAATTGCTCCAGAGCTTGTTTTTATCCATTCCATGGTAGGATCAACCGACATTTATTAAGTTACTCCGAAGAACAGCAGTTACCATCTATAGCCACTAGTATGGCAGTCTGTCCTTTCATTTCATGGTCCGTCATTGCATCATTTACATCATTTGCAATATGCAGGCCATTGCGTCGCATCCACTCACGATTTCCAATCAACACTGCGTACGTGTGAGAAGCTGATGGACCTTTGTGCACAGAGAAAAAGAAAAATGAACAACTCAAAAATAGTGAACACAAGCCAGCGATGTTTGAGGATGACAACATCAGGCTGCATTAGCTATAGAAAAATATTCTGAAGAGGTTTTCCTAGTTTTTTTATTTTTGCGTTCCGGGCTGGCAATGGTCACACCCAAGACACAAACAATTAGCCTTGTTGAAGTGCTGCTGCCATGGCCAAACACAAACGCATAGGCACTACCTGAAGACAGCCTTATAAAACTTTTCTCCTTCAAGACTCAATTTGTGCCTGTTCATACACAGAACTGCGTCATGAACTTAATCGAAGTATTTGCCTGTATTTGCCTTTGCCAGTTGGCATTGTTTTTCTAGATAAATGCATTATGCACATTTCATAAATACCACGTTGCTTTGTTCTCACAACTAATGACTTCTTTAAAATATAAAGGCTACTTCTGGTAAGAAAAAAGTAGTTTTGTTCTAACAAACAATGAAGCAGTATGTACAGCATCTCATTATGAATTCAGTCCAACTTCACAAGAGCTGTATGAAGCAGGTGAGAAAATATTACATTAACACCGTTCACAAATAGCACAGTTCTGAAGATTAAAGTTCTTATTTTTTTTCATTCTTCTAACAGCTTTCTCAAAAAGGTCAGTAGAGCCACAGCCTTCTGAAGAAAACTGATGAGCTTCTTAAGGAAGGCTTTAAATACCTTTTATTTCTCTCCTACACTACAAAAGAGCAAAGTGTCTTCCACTGAGCTTGAAACAAAAGCAAATGTATTGGCCTAATCAAAAACATCAGGCACTGAAACTCAGTTTGTAGATATAACACACTTTATTGTGCATCTGCTGAAAAGATGTTTTTTTAAAAAATTAAGTGCCTTGAGAGATATATGAACAGAAAACAAAAAGTTCAAGTTAATATGGAACTAAAGGGTAGGATATAAAAAGTAGCTGTAAGATGACATATGTTAAATGCTCTCTAAATGGGAAGATAATGCTAATTGGCAAAGTTTGCTCTCTGCTGGACCATTCTTCTATCCAAAAGGAACATTGCTGGGTATGCCTTATTGCCTATGTAGTGTATGGACTCTTTGATTACCCATCACTGTAGCATCTAAATTCTTATTTAGGTTTCTGAATTGCAAAGAGATTGAGAGTAGAGGAAAGACAGAGCTTCAATTTTTGTTAAGGCACATTTTTGTCTCTCATGTTCTTTGCCTCCTCCTGCCATAAATCCGCCCTCCTGTTGTTCCTTGTGCAATAGGATTTTGATTCATTAGCCCTCACATTGCAATTGGCAGTTGTGTCGGGGGGCAGACATACCATGTGGTTCGGAGAGAGTGATCAGCGTGTCATCTCCCAGAGGAGCACTGCTGTCCCTGCTCCTGTTAGCATCCAGCTCGAGACCCTCCTTGGCCGTGCCCAGGACAGCCTCAACACCTCCGACTTTGCAGCTGATGCCACAGCCTGGGACTGCCTGGAAGTCAGTGCAGTATCCCAGGCTCTGAGTGCCCAGCTCCTGTGGATATAACCAGAGTTCATCATCAGTGTGTGCTGCCCATGTAGGGTACAAATATTAGATAACTCCTTCTGAAAAGAGGCCTCATTCCTCCTCTTGACAATGACTGACTGATGGAAAAGCAGCATGGAGTATCAACAGCACAGAAATAAAAATAAGGATGTTCTGGATGTGCTGTGGTGTAGATTTTCTGGAAAGGGGCAGCCATACAGATTACATCCAAGTCTCAGCCCTAGCACCAGCAAACCATAAAGGACAGCTTTTCCTGGTAGTTCAAAGATGAAGCAGTTATACTGGTGGTTCATAAGGTCAGACAAGACTAGGAACTAAACAGAAACACTCTTAACAATAAGCCATACAGCTTCTGAAAAGATGCAACTTCTAATTAACCTCACAGATAACTGACTGTGGGGGTTCTGATCTTTTACATATATGCAGAAGTACAGTAAAAAACCGTGTCTAATTCCTGGAGTGACCTGGCTGAATGATAAGGAAACTGTGTCTTTCTGTTGTGTTAGAGACAGAAGCCAGTGAGTACCTTCAAGATGAGAAAAGGGATTACCAGCACCCTATGAGTTACAAAAAAAATTGAGAAAATATGCGTTTAGAAACAAGTTATTCTGGGTTGTCTCTGGAAGTTGGAATTACATGTACCTTTCAGTGCCCTTCTTACAACACAGGGATGATAAGGCAAGTGGTAAGAATACTACGAAACAGTATAGCATTGCAATTCGTATCAGCCATAATCCAGTAATAACTGGTGCATGGGATGACTACAGAAGTGTTGAGGAACTAAGACAAATTTGAAAACAAAAAATGTAAAATACAAGAGAGACAACTGAATCATTACCCATACTCTCTTTTCCCTTCTAAATTTATATACTAACTTCTACATTTTACCACTGAAAGATCTATCACTAATAAGTTTGATATATTCCTGCCAATTAATTATTCCATAAATCAATTAGTGACATGTCTTAGCAGAAAGAAATTATTTATCTAAACCAGGCTTCCTATTTTGGTTACTATTTGTGCTTTCATTCTTCCTGAAACATTTGAGGAACACATGCAATATATAAATGACCTTTGAGGATTTGCAGAATTTGTAAAGACTTGACTAGTCTATTAATTCATTTGTGAAATTCACAAATATCACAGTTTAATATTCAGGTTTTAAAGCTTTTTGCCTAATCTATTCAGATAAGCAAGTGACTAATAGAAGTGACTATGGTCAGGTAACGTATGAAATGTCACCACATACATTTGCTTCACAATGCTATTTTGAGCATAAATATTCCTCCTGCACATATTCCACAATCCTTATTTTCCCACTAGTTCAGGAAAAACGTTGTAAGACCTTGCTTGAGAACTCCACAGAGTTACCAGAAAAGCAAAGCTTCAAATATGCATTCTGGTATTGTCCAGATTAAGATGCACCATCATAAAATCTGCCAGGTTTCCAGGCTGTTACTTTTCAGGCAGGCCTGTCCCTCTGGAACTTGCTCCTTTAATACAACATTGCTGTGTTTACACAAATCCCTTCAGGCCTTAGATGAAACAGAAAGGTCACATACCTCTTTGCAATATCTAGTGACTGCCACTCCTAAAGGATGCTCGCTGCTGGCTTCTGCAGTGCCAACCACTGCCAGTACCTTCTTCAGAGAGAGCACATCCATGTCTCCCAGCAAAAGCACCCTCATGACTTTAGGAACTCCACAGGTGATGGTCCCAGTTTTATCAAACATCACAGTCTTTATCTGCAAGAAATAAACCAGAGTTACTGCCTTAGTCCGGTGAGCATAGGGATGCTCATATGCTTTAGGCACATAAATACAGGCAAGACCTTAATAATCAGTTGACTACATCCACACCAAGACAGAATAAACCTACAAAAGTAGGGATTCCTGTATGTACCTTGAACTACCTCTACAGTAAGTCTCCTTACATTTTTTACTCATTCCCCATATAATAATTTCACTGATGCTACAACATCATACTGTACCTCTATTAGGATCTCAGACAAGAGTCATTGCAGGACTTGTGCTGTCCTTTGTGTGTGCATATATGTATTCACATGCAGGATTCATGTAATGGCACCTTAATCACATGGTATATGTTGCAAGGAGGGCTTTTATGAATGATGTTCTAAACAATTAACTATAGCACTGACGAAAGAGGACTCAGGAAGTTATTTGGTGATAGAGCAGGTAGAAAGAGTGCAAGAAGCTGTAACAAGTTCCAGAAATAACAACCTAACCGAAATCAACATCATGCTGTTCACCAAATTCAGTGATCACTTGTTAGCTAGCCCAATGGGTCTTGAGGAATCAGGAAGGAACCAAATAAAACAGCACCACATACACTGAAACCCAAAGAAGCAAAAACAGCACAGAGAAACACAAGAAGCAAAAAACTCAACAAAGTAGGTGCTATTTCCGTTTTCAGCTATTCCAGCCCACCAACCTTTCAGAATCCAACAAGTCACATAATTTTCCAAGCCCTGACCCTAGCCTTGCTTAGAGTCAAAAGGTAAAAAGTCCTGACACTAATGAGCAGTCCTTTTTTGTTTTTTTTTGCAGAGCCTTGGAAAAACTTATGGTCTATGCTTTATAGTTTCCAGTAAGAACAAGAATTATCTGCCTGATTAATGTATTCTTACCATCCTTTTCACTTAAAATGTTCTGCATAAATCTAACCCAGTCTACCATCACATGGTTTAAACTCGTTCTTTTCACTGGCTGTGGACATGTCAAACCTCCTCCTCCTTCAATATCTTCTTCCTCTTTTCATCAGCTTCATGTCTTTGAAGAGTTTTTTCTGCCTCCCATCTTTTTTTCTATACACTAAACCAACTTCAAATAATTTTGTTTTTCTCTTACATCCTACATTTTAAACTAGAACAACATACATTTCACAACAGCCCTCTGGGGAAAAAAGTAAGACACTGGATTATTGGGCTCATTTGCAGAAGAGGTAAAGAGAGTGCACAAAGTCAGAAACCTCTGAGGTCATGCAGATTAGCAGCCTTGTTGGCATGAGATTGCAGAACTGTTGGCTCTCAACACTTCGCTGTGACTGCTTTGAAGAAAGAAGGTCAGATCTGTCTTCTTTACTTTAATGAGCAGAAACCAATCGAAAAAAACCCAAACAACAAACATTCTGCAGTCTTTCTCTGGGTCAGCAGGATTTCCTGGGAAATTATATTTCATGTAGCAATAGCTGGGTAAGCTACAAAAGTACAGAATGAACTATTAACCTTGTGTGCCATTTCCAGCGGTTTTCCACCTTTGATGAGAATACCATTCTGTGCAGCAACTCCTGTGCCCACCATCACAGCTGTGGGGGTAGCCAAGCCTAAAGAACAGGGGCATGCAATGCTCAGCACAGTGATTGAGGTTTGAAATGCAAACCTCAGTATTAGTTCAGCTTTTGACACGTGTTTGTTCTGATTCTGCAAGAAGAGGGAAGAGAGGGGGAAAAAAAAGAAAGAAAGATGTATGATTGCTGATAGAAGGTAACATAGATGTACAATCAATCATAATCATTTAAAAAAAACACATTTACCTGGAAACCTCCAGTATAGGAAAGCAATCTATCATTGTTACTGCAGTGGTAGAGAAAGGTCAATGTTATGAATTGTTCATGGCAGTATTTTCTGGCTTTTTTGCTAGCACACATATGCTTGATTCTGCTCTCAGGCTCCCAGACGACAATATAACTTGCTGGCATTTCTTAGGAAAGTAGCTTAGCAAAGGAAAACCCTGTTTCCAGGTACACCGATCCCCAGAGTTGCTGATCACAGCAAATACACATCCTAAAGATAACAGAAGCTCATCTTCTTTCTAAAGCCAAACCCACTATGTGCCATCAGGAACAAGGATGTCAAAAAAAATTTCAGGCATGATAGGAATGGCTCAGCTCCTTGCCGTGCAGCTATAGATCATGTTTATTTCAGAAAGACTGCCAGTAATTTCAGCTTGTAGGAACCTCATGCAGATCTAAGGGGTAAATGCAAAGGTAGATTTATACCTGCAGATAGATTTCAGTAAGTGTAATTATCTGCTTTACGTAGAAAACACCACATTGTACAGAAGTATTTGCCAGGTTGCAACATCAAACCCTACACACAGAAGGCATGTTAATTACACTGGAAGATATCCTAACACTAAAATCTAGCTCTTAATGAAATTACTTACGGGAAAATATTTTTGAATAACATCAAAATTTATAAAACCAATTGTGATCCATACTATCAATGTCACTGTTGAAATGATGATGATAAATGGAACAAAATATCCACTAAACTTATCTGCCAGTTGCTGTATGGGTGCCTATAAAAAAGAAAAACAAGAATTTGCATTTTTATGATCAAAACACATAAACATGTAAAGTTCATGAAAATATCTAATAGTCTCTATCTGATTCTTTTTTGAAGTCTGGAAAAACACAGCTTTCTGAACAAGTAAATATATGAAAACATAGAATCTTTTTCTTATTTATTTAAAATTTGTGAATAAGGTTTTCCTTTCTATTTCTTTTCTACCTTTGACATTTGAGCTTCTTCCACCAATTTCACGATTTGTGCCAGGGTGGTATCATTACCAACATGAGTTGCATCAACAAGAACCGAGCCATGTGCATTTATAGAACCAGCAATCACTGTGCTCCCAGGCTTTTTAGTGACTGGCATAGCTTCCCCTAGAAAGAAAAGGCAAGAATAAATGAGCCAATACTCCTAATAACAGTGAACATACTCCATTAGCACACAGCTCATTGTATGCTACCAAAATCAGCATGCTAAGCAATAATGACAAGAAATCACATATTTTATACCTCTGGCTAGTAAAGACACATATAAGTGGTGTCATACTTCTGTAAAACTTTTTCTAGGTTTAGATTACAAGCAAATGCTGTTTCCTTAGTCCTAACCCTCCAGTATGCTATCCCTCAAAAGGGCCAGAACCAAATGGTTTGCAATTGCTAGGAATTTTTCCAATTAATACTTTGCATAGCCATGGAAGGTTGAGCAATCTGTGTCCATTTCCACCACCCTCAGTTTTCAAAGACCCAAAAATTTGTCTCTTTGGCAAATCTCCTGTTCTCACACTGCTTCTTCAAGAATACTGGCTCTACAAAATCTTTATTTTATCTACTTTTAGGGTTAGTGATAATGACTGGTTCTCTTAAATTAAGGTGTCCCTGTTCTCCAAGCAAAGTAAATACATAACTAAAACAAGCAAGCCAACGACAACGTACAGTTTTTATATCCTTTACCTTATTTATAAGAATAGTATGATAAAGTATATCCTTATTATATTTACAAAACAAAATTAAAATTACAGAAGCTATTAAAAAGTCCCGTGACCCTTAATGAGCATCAAGCCATGAGGCTTTCTTTCCCTTTCCTTGCTCACTGGCTGATCCCTGTTAGAAGCCCTGTCTGACGCCCATGAATACATATGCCAACATCTCACCAACATTTCCCCATTGCCCTTTAGGAGTTATTTCTGAGAAGGTACCATGTCTATAAATACATTTCACGGAAAACTCCCACCAGATCTCTGGAATAAAGATAACACTGTTTAGACTCTGCCCATCACATCAGTGCATTAGTAAAAGTGACCAAAGAGTTGAAATTCTTCAGCTTTTTAGGGTGTCTGCAAACACAGGATTTGGATTCAAGCTCATAAAGGTCAGGCAGTGTCCTTTAAGGCAGGAGGTTATTCAGTAGGGTCTGCTCTCTTTTCTTGTGAGAAAGTGTTCTAGATGTCACTTCTTTGCATAAGTGTAAGGGAAGTTACCAGTAATGAGAGACTCATCTGCCATAGAACTGCCTTCAATGACCTTTCCATCCACTGGGAACTTTCCACCAGGAACAACCTTTACAATATCACCCCTTTGAACCAGTTCAACAGCTACCTGCTCCTCCCTGCAAAAGTCACAAGGATAAAAGACAGATTATTTACACCATCACCTTCAAAACAATAATAATGCTTTCACATTGACTGCATCAAGCCTGGTCTGTTCACCCAGGCAGGCTGAAGGGGTTTTGGTTCAGAAATATATACCTGACGATAGAGTGGTCAGGTCCAAGAGTTACCACAGTGGCTTCTGTGGCTTGAAGAGATATAAGTTTAGCAAGAGCTTCCGAGGTCTTACTCTAAGAAACAGAGAAAAATATTTAAGACATACTGACATATATAAATGCTGATGTTTACTTAACACAATGATCCCTGAGCTCTAAATGACCATATCCCAGGCTACTACACAGATCAGAAACATCTGGCTCAAAATTCCTCTGAATAGTTTTATTCTATTCTCATCATTAATGCACAATACTTAATGTGAAGATATGTTACCTTTGCTATGTGTTCCAGCCATCTCCCAAGGGCAATGAATACAAACAGCATTGGAGGAGTGTCAAAGAAAGTGACAGGGCTTTTCTCTGCCTTTTCAATTATCGCTACCATCAGGATCACACACGAATACACATAAGCAATCGTTGTGGCCAGTACGATGAGCACATCCATATTGGCTGTCTTGTGCTTCAGTGATTTGTAAGCTTGTACATAAAAATACCATCCACCAAGAAACTGTTGGTGTAAGCATGGATAGACTTGTATTAAGATCACAGCAGTGAGAGCAGAGAATACATTATACAATATAGTAGAATTACAAACATATAGTAGATAAGGGAAGGCATTGCTGTCCCATGCAATTTTTATATTGATACAACTTCAGTGGAGTGGTCTACTAGGAGGCTGACTCCATTGTCATCCTCTCTCTTGCCCTTCCTCATTCTCAAAACAACCCTGCCAGCTAAATATCATTCTTTTCCTCAGCAATGCAAAGTAAACACGGCACAGAAGGTAAAGGGATTTACCTATAGTTACTCAATTAGTTTGCAGCTGATCAGGTATTTCTTAATGTTAACAATACCTTCCCCACTTAGAAAACTATCTGGTGCAACTTTGGCAGGAGTAAGTGCTGTAGCAATTACAGAATGGATAACTTGCAGAAAAGTACCACTTCATTCTGTGCAGGCAGTACAGACGAGAGGGCAGGCCTTATCCACTAAACCTTTCCAGTCTCCTGTCGTTATCACATCAGATTACATAAATGGGAGATGAATAGAAAGCAAACCCCTAGGAAGTACTGTGGACATACCTGAACAAAAGTGCACAGGACAAAGAAGAGAAGATTTAAAATAGATAATCCAGGAATGAGGTTCTGTTCCAGCGCCATAGACCCATGGTGCCCACCATCAGGTATTAGCATATAAATCATTAGGATTAAGACAGGGATACCAAACAGTAGGCTGCACAAGAAAGATTTCCTCCACCTGAAAAGTAGAAGCTGTAAATCCCTGGTTGTCACGCACCCCTCACAGTACCCAGGCCAAACAGTGTTCTTGCAGTACAGAGCTTGGTGTATTAGTACTGTACTAACACACAGCTTCAGGATATTTGGGAAAGATCCAACACTTCAGGACAGTTTCTGTGTCTATACATGTTTAACTGTACAGACTTCCATCAGTTAAAAACTGAAGCAATGAAAGTAATAAAAGTACTTGAATCAAATGGCAAATCGTAAAATTAAATATGCTTTACACAAGGATAAGCTAAAATAACTGGGAAGAGTAGAGGGGAGGTGAGTTACAAGAGATGATCTATACATGTTCATTAGTCATAGAGAAAGAGAAATACTTACTGCTGTATTTCCTTTTTATGATCCAGGTTATGTGCATTTGGAACTCTTCTAGCCACGGAAGCATGAAAGCCAATTTCCTTTTTATTGCAAGGGGAGGGAAGATGAGTTAGTTTTGATTAAACTAACCATATTACTTATATTTAAATTATAGTACTTTTAGAAGAAATGTCAGAAAAGGACACAGTTCCATATTGAATAAATGCCAGCTTCTTATTTATTTTTAGATCCTGACAACATAAGAGGATATTTCAGACAGTACTCAAAACGTGGACTGCAAAGGATTTCTGCTACCTATACACGGACACAGCGTATAGATGCAGTAAGTGTTCTGAGTTTCTTAGACACAGGCAGCTCCCACTGACAGATGGAGTTCTTCTGCCTTCCTCAAGGGAAATTTATGCCCTTCCATCTCCACTGGAATAAGTATGAGAGATGGGAAATACGACAAAGGAAGGCAAAAATGTACAAGCCACTGGGCTAGTCAACCTTGCGAGCATCTCCTTAACACTACAGTTCAGTAGATACAGCTGAAGTTGAAATTCAAAGTGGCTAGAATCAGTTTAAATCTGTAAAACAACAAACTGCAGAGCAAAGCATCCCAGAAACAAATATAGGCAAAAAGACAGTTTTGACTGACACTTCAGAGAGTTACTGCAGTAGAACCGCCTCCACCCCCACCACAAAAAAAAAAAAAAAAAAAAAAAAAAACCAAAAAAACCCAAACTGCAAAAAACCCAAAGCACACTCTCAAGCACATTACATTTAAACTTCAGATTGGTATCATGAGATGCTCCTGTGTCAAGATGCACTTTACAGAACTACTCTGCCAGCCTCAACAGTCTACTAGTTAACATGTAAATCACTGCTGCTGCCTCAATTCTGTGGTCTAGGAGCTTTCTTTTGAGTAAATACTCTAAAACATGAAAGGCAGTCTCTGCTGTCCTCCTGACTACTCACTGAGTGCACCTCCTACCGTACGGTCTCTTCCCTTCTGGTGGGGCAGAGAAAGAAAAAGTTTTGTCCACACCTGGGCCATGACAACGACAGATTTTGTGATCTGTGTGGTTACTGGTAAGCCAGGATTTTTTTTCTTTAGTGGCTGTATCACAAGGTCTTTCAGTTTAAAAAGTTCTTCTCTGAATTGATGTGGGAATAAATGCCAGTGTAGAAAGAGATGTGTAATACCTGTGGCACGAGCTATTTCACAACTTCTTTTACAGCCTCTTTCACTGGCAAGAGAAACTAGTATTTTTTTCTGAAGTATCAACAATCCACTGAAATGACTGGAAATCAGAGACACATGATTCTACACACAGAACTGCAAAGAACGAATTACAGACAAAAAAGGTTTCTTTTTGTAGTTTTTAGAGTAACAACCTGGGAGACTATGCAGTACTGTGGAGTACAGCAGCTTCACCACAAGAGCACAAAAACATATGGCAGTAACCATGTCATCTGCAACCTCTCAAATATCAGCTGCTTTATTTCCTTCTTAATTTCACCTTGTAGTTGTTCATACATTAAAAATTTCTAAAGCGTACCTCAATTATTTTTATAATATCTCGAGGTCCAATAATTTCAGGATCAAACTGGATGTGAGCTTTGCAAGTAGCAAGTGCAACTGAGGCATAGAATATGCCATTTGTTCTCATGAGTTTAGATTCAATATTGTGAACACAAGAAGCACAAGTCATCCCTGTAATCTAAAGAAAAGACAAATTTAGGTGCAGTTAGCAGTCCTCCACGTTCACCCAGTATTTGTGGCTCAATTTGAGACAAGGCCTCCCCATGTCACAAAGGTACTAATGACTATTCAAGCTCTGCTTGTACTTACCCAAGGCCCCAGCAAGCTATCTTAAATGAAACAAAGCTGAGAACGTATCAATCCACATTTATTATAAAATTCTGTAACCAACAGTTACAGTCACAGCTATATATTTGCACAGCAGCATTCGTATACTGTATTAACTGTAACAGTATAGCTAATATAGTTCCATCTGTTCCATTGTGGAAGTCAAACTCTGCACGTGTAACTTCATCTCGCTTACTTGAATTTTCCTATGGCTTCAGTAAGGCATGTTCCGAGCTTCTGATCTATTAGCACAACTGTAGACTGTTGTTATCTGTCTTGTAGTAGGTATATGTCAGAGAATAAAAACAGACTTTTGAAGAATCTGTCCTTCACATAATCAATTTACTAATTTTACCCAAAGTTCTCAGGAATCAATCACAAAGCCCCAGGCATTATCATCATGTTGTTTGGTGATACATTCTCAGTTGTTCAGCCTATCCTGTTGACTGAAGTGCCTTCACAGAAAAGTTCTGTTTCATTTTTTTCCTTGCTAAGAAAAGTCTGTTCTGTACATACGACTATCACTTTTTATTTCAGTGTCCCTGGACAGGTTCTTCTAAGACAAATTGATTTTGTCTTTTCAGCAATTAAGAAAAAACAGTGTCACCAGCGAGAGCTGACCTGCTAAAGCCACAACTCCTTAAACAAAAGCCTTTGCAAGAAAATTACTCTTCCAGATGTAACTTTTCAAAAACCAACATATAATTTCAACTACACATGACTTACAAGAAGCTCCACATTTCCTTCTGTTTCTGCATGATCTTCTATGACGGTAGCTTCAAAACCCAAATTCCGGATCAGCTGTGCTATTTCAAGAGGCTGTATGAATTCTGGCTTGTATTTTATCTCTGCTTTACCTGCCATCAGTGCTACCAACACTGAAACAATTCCTGCAGTGGCAGTAATAAAAAATATTAGATAATGTAGATCCTTTGAGGGGAAGAAAATAAAGTATTACAAGTGAATGTCAATGAGGGCTGTAACAACTTAGAGATGTAATAAGCCTAATGATTTCCCTCTGCTTCCTTCTAGTATTGCTCCCCAGTCACAGCAGCAAGGTTTTTACTGAGATCCAGCTACACTTGGGTTCCTTTTACCAATGAGAGGAACCACAAAAGTTACACAGGGAAGGAGGTGAGTTTTACTATGATCTAGCGAGACCAAAAGGGTGTTCAGAAGCAATTTTTGCACTCATTGCTGCAAGCTCTACCCTGGACTCTCTAAGTTTCAAAAGCCCAAAACAAACCTAATAGCATAATGCTAGGCTTTTTATTGTTTTTCCCTTTGGGTTTTTTTTTTAAATTATTATTTTTTAAAATAAATACAATGACGGAAATCAACATTTAGAATTAAAAAGCAAAACAAAAATCACAAGCAAAACTATTGTTCTGAAGTGCTAATGGTTTATTGGATTTTTAAATCAAGGCAGTGAGACCATCACTGGGAGACTGAGGGCACAGGAATCAATAAGCAAAACCCTTCAAAGGCATGCCTACACAAATTAAATCAGGCATTGCTGAGGCTCGTCTGTTCATCTTCTGTATGTCCAGAGGAAAGGCAGTCCCAGCCTGCAGACTTCTAACCTAATAAGCTTTCCTGTGCCTAAGCTAATATAATTACCCAGGCACTGGACCCATGCATTGGTTTGTACCCGCTTGTGCAAATGTGCCCTGAAGGGCAAGTTTCACATCACAGAGGTGGCAGAGCTCTCAACACTCTGGAAGAGATGGATTGCTCTGTAAAGCAATAACTCCTTGAAAACTAAATGAGAACCATTTCTCTGGTTTTTGTCTTGAGCCTTATTTGATATTTTGATCACATTACAACAACTTACTGTTACAATACAAGTATGTCCATTGGGTTTGTCCACCAGTGCGGTAGGATAGTTAAACAGTGATGTAGTTTAGTTACATTAGCACTAAGAAAGAGCATTAAGCCTATTTAACTTCCAGATGCTATACCACAGCCTCTTCCATTAACTGCATAAAATACTTTTTCCATCCTGTAGTCCCTTATAGACTCATTATAGGAATCTTAAATTTATTACCGTCCTCCTTCTGCAAATTTCTTTCAATGGTAGACACGCACGATGCACAGGTCATGCCTGTGATTTGTAAAAAACACTTTTCAGCTGTCACTTCACTGGGTTGGTTTGGCCCATCAAGGTGTGGACTGTCTGGAAGAGTATCCGAGGCACAGCCTTGGCGAAGAGTCTCTAAAGCTCGAGGCTGCATGGCAGCACTGCTGGCATCAGGCTGGTGCTTATGTTCTCCGGCAGCAGTATCTTGAATAAATGAACAATAAACTGAACAAACACTATTTACAGTGTGATCAGATGACGTAAAACTACAAGCAGGTCACATTTATCAATCATGTAAAGTCTCTTAGTTGTTTGAAAGGTGACATGGTAATCTTGGTCTCTTAATGGAAATAATATAGACTGTTACTACGCATATAACAATATACATTCACCAGTACTACTTGCATGACCATTCAACATTACAGAACTGGTTTTCCGCTTTCAGATGGCAAATTATTCCCTCCATTTTCAATGCCTAGACCTGACAGCTACCTCCACTCAATAAAGATATGTTGGTATCTAGAGGGTCCTTATCCAGCACAGAGAACACAGACCAGCCTCACATCCATTCTGTCCTTGTTGTCATCCATGCAGGACTCATAGCACTTCATCTCAAAAAAGGAAAAGGACAAGTTTCTCAACTGCTTTCTCTTTATGGCACAATACTTACACTGCAAGTACTGCAAAACAAGTAGCAGAAGGATTTGCAGCACCCAGAAGACCTCCACACATACAGGTCTGTTGCAACCATTTTTGTTCTTTACCAGCTACTGAACAGACACCCAACAGCTCCAGATGTATTCACAAACTGCCTCCCTTGGGCAGAGGCCTGTGTAAAGGAGCAAGAGTTGCTTCTACACACATTAAACACAGGGAATCCCCTCCTTTTCCACAGACAGATTAGGAGGTCTCCCACCAACAGATTATAAACCAAAAAAATAATAATTAAACGCCACATATGGGATCCTCCTCATCTGTAGGAGTTCCACAGATTCAGAGGGACTGGACTCATAAGAAAAGCTAATAGGATGTGGTCTATTGGGATCAAACTAATTCATTACAGGTAAATTACATCAGTATCTCAAAGCAAATCTGTTCAGCTGAAGCAGACAAATATTGCCACTTTTAAAATTCACTAAAGAGGAGATTGTGCACCACAGCAACTTCTTAAACACTGAGCACATGCACAAAATGTACAAACTTACCTTGCCTAAAGTAAGCCTTAGTAAAGTAGGGCTAGTAAAAATACTCAATAAATAAAGGTCAAAGGATTAGGACACTAAAAAGATATTTTAGCTAGGTAAAATGTGGTTTTAAATGAAAGAAATTTCATTAAGATTGCAGGTTTTAGTATGAAAACATTTGGTTTGATAGGTCTACTTACAGCAGCCTGTAAACATAAGAGGAAACCTACTTCAGTGGGTAAGGGATCAGCTATTTGAAAGACCTTGTACAAACTTCCAAACCTTTTGGCTTCATAAAGTAACTCAACTCTTCCAGCCACTAGTGCAGTTATTAAGGGCTCAAATAAGGTGCTTCACAGCCGATATCTCCCTTGCTAAGGCCAGATCAGGCCAGTCCCTTAGAAAAGATGTGATGTTCTAAGAGTTTGTCTCCAGAAGAGTCTCAATGCAGGTGTTGCATGGCCCAGCTTGGGGAGAAAAAAAAACACTGTTACCTGTCAGCACAGAAGCATCAAACCCCATGTCTTCTATGGCAGCTCTTAACTCTTCTCCAGTAGTGACAGCAGGCTCATAATGTATGGTCCCAGTTCTGTCAGATAGAGAAACTGCTATACATTGCACTCCTTGTCTCTGTGATATGGTCCCTTCTATGGACTGTACACAGGAATTGCAGGTCATGCCATCAATCCTAATAACAGCTGTGCATGTCGTGTTGTGCAGCAGCTCTCTGAAGAGATCGCATAGCAAAGCAGGTGGTGGAGAAGCTCCCTTATTAACTTCTGAACCATTAAGGAGATACACTTTAAAGTTTCCAGATGGAAGGGATTCAATAGCTTGCTGCAAAGCTGACAGGGTAATTAAATTTGGGCTGTACTGTACCACAGCATGTTTATGCTCCAAAGACACTTTAATACTTTGTATGCCAGGAAGATCTGATATATTTTCTTCAATGTTTCTGACACAGGACTTGCAGTGCATGCCTTCTATCTGTACAGCCACGGTAGCTGTGCCACTCATCTTGGCAACCGGTGGATCCACCCCATCACTCTTCAGACTTGCTGGTGTCTCCTTGGGGTTTGCATTCTGCAGGCGCCCGAGATCAAGGACACCCAGCTTCAAAGGGGCTGATTTACTTTTAATGGTGCAGTCATACCCCAGGTTACTGATATGGCTCTTGAGGTCGTCAGGCTGTATGATGTAAGGATAGTAAGTAATAATTGCTTCCTGGTTACCAAGTGACACCTTGATTTTCGCCACACCATGCAGTTTCCTAATCTTTCCTTCAATGTTGGTGGCACAGGATTGGCACGTCATGCCTTCTACCCGAAGCTTAACTACTGCTTCTCTCAAGCATGACAAATTTACAGTTGCTGTTGTCAACCCCTCTCCTGCTATGTTGGCATCAAAGCCCATGTCCTGAATTTCCTGGCAAATCTGTTCAGGACTTATTTCCGACTGCAGATACTTTATTACAGCATTGTTCTGTTCAAGGGAGACTTTAATACTCACAATGCCCTTCACCTTGGAAATTTGGCCTTCTATTGACTGCACACAAGATTGGCAAGTCATTCCCACAATGTTGACTGCCACAGTGTGTTCTTGGGAAGATGGAGAGGGCACAGTTTCAAAGCTCTCCTCATAGCCCATGTTATCAAAAGCAAAATTGTGTTTCATTGTAGGCTCCAGCTCACAGTCAGGAGGAGAATCAGTGTTGGACAAAACCTAAAGAGCAAGAGGAAAAATGAAAATAAAATTTATGTATCTTTAACACAGTAAAAGCATCAATATTCTGCATGTGCTCTCAAGCACATATGAGAAGTAATCTCAAGTCAGTCTATACTGACAAAACACTTCACAATGTTAACTTACACTTTCAATACATTACCATTTAGCTATGCCCACAATGATGAATTGGGCCTCTGACACTTCTCTTGACCAGTAATTTAAAAAATAATAACTAGAGAAACAAAAGCAAAATTGTCTCAATATCTCCTATACAATCATTTAAAAATTGATCTCTCTGCAGCCATGGGGCACTGTCACCATGCAGCCAGAGCCCTGTTTTTCAGAGCACACTGTCACCTGCAAAAAGGGTCACAGCAGAGTGTGTTGAATGTCTCTCCACAAATGTTAGAAGCTGGATCAGTTTGTTCAACCTGCTATTGCTCAGCAGGAGTTCAAACCAAACCACCCACAGAAAACAGAATCAAGAATTTCCCAAGAGCCTGAACCCAGCTGGCGCAGAGAGGACCAGTTGCATGATGTCTGAAGATCTGTATGCATGCATACAAGGGTCTGGGCTGTCTGCATATATACAGATCTTTAAGTTAAAATTTATATCTGACACAGATTTTAAAAGACCTATATGCAGATACTTCAACTATAGTTTAGTTTCATCTGTCTCTTTGTGAGGCACCTAAGAAAGACCATACATTAAGCTGCAAGAACTCACTGATTTGATCCAACACTGATTTTTAGGATGTAATGGCCAGTATTGAAGTAGATCAGCCAGAGGAGGACTACCCATCTGCCAGATCATGGGTTCCACAGTACTGGGACTCTACAGTTTAGTGCACTCAACTCAATTGAAAATGAAATATTAAAAAACAAAAAGTGATAAAGGCAATGCTTCTTGCAGAACAGGTAATCAGAGCACAGACTCTGCCATCAAAGGAAATTGCTGGTGCCAAGTGATAAGGAAGATTGAGAAGGTGAGGGATAAGTCCCAGATTGCCAAGTTTCATGGAAAGACATCAAAATTCATGTCAGTGACTTAAGGCAGCTTTAACTACTAAATATCTAGATGCAAGCTACTGCAACAAATTTATTCACTCGCCTGTGAAGCTGTGGGCTCTCCACCACCCAATAAAGCACCTAATGCTGGGCATTACTGCAGAGAGGGGGTCACTGGATCAGGCTCAGTACCACAAATCTTGTTCCTGACACTGACAAGAAAACTCCCTCTTTGGTACCGCAGTGCAGATGAGAAGCATTTAGGCCGCTTATTAACACTAGACTGCATCGAGTTCATTTGATGCAGTATTCAAAATTCATTAACTCAATTTTATTTCATGCTTAGACAGCTTGGGAATAATAAGGTCTGGAGTGACAACCAAAACGGCAAAAATTTAATACAAGAAATTTGCTTTCAGCCTTCTCCAAAAGGAATGAGCAACTTCAACTCTTCAGCATTACGGTGCAGCTCCTCGCTATCCCAACCGTGAACTCTCTCCCCCATGTCCCCTCCCTCTCCACTTGGACTCAAGGCTACGCTGCGAGGATGATAGGGAAGAAGAGTGACGGGAATATTTTAGCCCTGACATCCCCTTTTACCTCCCCCTCCCACAGGCCTGGCAGCACCCAGGGCACATACTCATCTCCTTACACCTTCCTTCCCACAAGTTACTGAAATCCCCAATGCACAATGCACAGCCAGCCCCTTCTTTCAAAACAAAATATAAGCAGTTTGTGGACCTCCCTGCAGAGGTGGTTCCCTGTTTAAGCTCACACAAAGATGACCACGTGCTTATTTCCTCCTATTTGTGCTCTCCCACACCTTAAAATAATAATAACATGGCTTTGTATAAGGAAAATAAGCCAGTCTGCAAATGAAAACAGCCTCTCACCCACTGCATTTCAAACACTGCTGCAAATCTGAAACTCAAACTTGCATTAATTGTAATGTCTACCTCAAGAAACATTACGTGAATGTTTTCCTTTGTCTCCTCTTCCGTGTCTCCTGTTCCCAGCCCCCCAAAGACATTTTGCTCGGGGTGGCAAGCTCTTCTTATCACAAACACCCAGTAAAGCAAAATTCCGCGTGCTAGTTACAGGAACTCAGCCTGTACGTTTACTTTGGCTCATACGACAAAGCCATTTGCCTTCTGCATCCTTTGGTGAAACACAGCATGAAAGACAGGCGAGACAAACATCCTCCACTGTCCTGCTCCCCTTCACCACGTTTCTGGCAGCCACTTGCAGATGAAAATAAGGAACAACCACGGGCCTGATGTCCTCCACTGGGTTCCCTCCACCCCCATGCTCACCAACCATCTCAGTTTTCCTAAGTACCCAGTGATATAGAAGCAATTCAATTTAAATGTATAAAAAGAATAAAGGGTATTTCTCGTCCTCCAGTCCCTTGAAAAACATAAAAGCAAGGACTGATTCTACTATTTCAATGCATTGCAAGCCACAGAAAAACTTGGCCTCCACTTTGTGGTTTGGATAAAAAGCTATGCCAACATTCAGAAGAACTGGCAAAAATATATTGTTTGTTATGTGACAAAACAAGATGTTTATGCTCTGTAGGAGAAAAATCCTTGCACACATTTTAAATGACAGGGGAAAAAATAGAGAGGGGATGTGGAGATATATATATATATTTATATAAAGTTTATTTCCCTGTAAAGAAAAAACAACAAAACAACAAGCAAACAAACCCCCACAAATGCCAAATCATTGAAGAATGTCTCAAAAAAACACAGAAATGTGCACAGGTTCAAATACAGTATTTACAAAGCCTTTAGTATCGTTTAAAAGCTTTAAAAAAAAAAAAGAAAAAAAGAAGGAATTACGCCTCCTGCTTGTTTCTGCTTAAGAGAGGAATCCCATTGAAATAATGAAAATGCATCTGACTCCACAGGAGTGCGAAAGAACCAGTGGCAGTTACTGACTATTTTGTCTCTCACACCAAAGGAGGACTGCTCACTTTTAAGGGCAGGTGTACTCCAAGTCTGTTTGCTCTACGAGTCTCATGTGTATTTTTACAGTGACTACATAAGAAATATGTATATAATGAAAACATGAAACTACGACAATACTTTTCCTCCCTTGTTCTGCACATGAAAGTTGCAACTGAAACTGCACAGCAGAGTGAGACTCTAGTCTGAAAGCTAAGAATCCCTATGGAAAGCAGTGTTATGAAGCTCATTTAAACAACATAGAAAAGAAAAATAGATCATTAAGAAGATACCCATTGACAATTGACACAGAAGCAATAGTAGCTGGGAAGCTTTAAAGGAAGCACCAGAGCTGGATGGAAAACACTCCCACCTACAAGAGACAGCTCTGAAATGGACCTAAGACGAGTAGCAACTGAAAATGTTGATGTGCCTGAGCGTGGGATCTGAAGCACAACTCCCAGTATGAGGATTTCAGAGCAAACTCACCAGCATGACGAACAACCCTTGCTGTCCCAGACAGGAGCTGGAGCACTCACGCCTGCCCTGGGGCAAAGCAGGGTTTGGGGACAGCAGGAAGAGGCAGAGGATCCTGCTCCCCATCCTGAATGCCTCCAGCCAGCAGGAAGGAGATCATCCAACCAGAATACACCCTGGGGCTGGACTAACTTTTTAGGAAAGCATGGAGGTGGTGCATGGCAGGGAGACACTGCTGGATGGGGAGCATCAAGTCTCGAGCCCAGGCTTGGCACACAGCTCTTGGTGTTACAGCACCCAGAGCTCCACAGCAGGTCTGGTGGGAAAGTTGGCCACCTCTCGCCTGGTGTCTCCACAGGTTTTGGGCTGCTCTTCTCCTCATACCTCTGCAGGCTGAAACCAGCCCTCTCACCTTCGAGCACACAACTGCTGAATTATCTTATCTATGTCGCTCTTTTACCTTTCCTTCTTTGTTCTTTCACAATCCGCTGATTCATGGCTTTGGATTCAGGCAGCAGTAACACACAACTGAAAAGCCACATACTATTAATTAAATGCTTCAGATGCTTTCCCAGTTTATTACAGGCAGCCAGTGAACAACAAAATGAGGCCAGAGCAGCTGCGGGAACATAAAGGTCCCGAGCCTTCATTTTCATGCCTATAAAAGCAGCACTTCTGGGTGGGCAAAAATTCAACCTTCATCCTCCTTAACAAATTTCAGTGCAACTTGTCCATCCATCATGGTAGCGCATATTGTTTAAATGTTCTTAACTGGTTGTTCTTCCTTCCCTCTTCCCCCAAGCTTAGTGAAGATTAACAAATTTCAGTAGCTACTATTTTGTAACTACCTGTAACACAACTCATTATTTTTCAAACAGTTCCTGAGTCTTAAAAGAGGGAAAACCCACCTTCTCCACCTCAAGATTCAATTAAAATATTACTTTAAAGCAGCCTTTATGGTGTTTTTGTTTTCAAAATACTAACTTAGTTGCGCTAATGCTTCTGCCAAGGGACTGCTATTCCCCATCTGGGAACAGGTCTCTCCCAACAGTACAGACAATGGGGAAAGATTTAGGCAGCTGCAGCTAGTCTTATGGAAATGATACCTACATACGCCATAGCTAACAAACCTTAGAGACCTTAACAGGTACTTTTAAATTAAAGGAAGCTATGTAAACCATGCTTGGTTTAGCAGGAAAGGGGAAAGCTTTGTTTTAATGGGTTGTTTCTAATACAGAATTAAACAAAGGAAAACAGTTTATGATGTTCTTCTCAGCTCCAGTACAAGCAACGTGTACATCCCAGTGAACTAAATACAGAAAAGAGATCCTTTGGTAGAACAAAGTCATTTATGTCATGATTGTTTTCTAGCAAACATTTATAATATAAGAAATAACTTGAGGTAGAAAAGGCCTTCAGGTATATTTGGTCTGTCCTGGCTGTTATTTCATTCCAGTCTGACCCTAATTATTTAAGCCATTCTAAGCATATGCAGTTACAAAGGACACAAAATTTGTT